ACCCGGGTGCGGGGGAGTGGGCACTCGGCTGCGGGAGCGACCGTCCGAGCATATCACCCAGGCTGAACGCTTTTCTTCATTGCCCTGGCTGGAAACAGTGGGGGTTCCCTTTGGCTGCCATCCTTACCTCATCCTTGCTCTCTAACCCTAATTCATCATCACACCGCAGCCCCCCTCTCTCCTCCTTCCCTCTATAAGGCCAGAGAAAAATTCAGCTGCTTGTCCTCACGCCCTTTGCCGGTTGTAACTCGGCTCGACGCCTGGCAGCTCCCAGCGCTGGGCACTGGCCGATGCACATGGGCATCCCTGCAGGGAACAAGCCAGTGGATCAGGGGGGGGCTGTATGGAGCACGGTGACCCCAACTGACACGTGTTGGGGTGGCTCCTGGAGTGCCCATGGGGCTTAAACACTCCCTGGGTGCTCCCAGCCCTCCAGGTTGTCCTCCCCCCGTGGTCAGGCTTTGGTGGCCACTCTCAGACAAGCCCAAGGGTCTTTGCATTGTCACAACGAGCAGCGGCATTACCTGTCGGTCGCTTCAACGTTGGAGGCAACCACAGAATAAACTCTGGCTGCTGCTCTCTCCTGGGACCTGGGACTTCGAGTGCAATGTATGCACGTAGAGCTGGGAGTTCAGCTGCACACGGGGCCCCGGTGTTTGCCCACGGTGCTGTCCCACTGCGGTGGGGGAGCCTGTTTGTTTGTCCCCTCTCCCTGAGGCAGCATTGTGGGGGACGTGCCCTGAGCAGCTTACTGTGAAACAGCCGGCATAGACCTGGCTCCCTGCTCCAGATTTCAGCCCTTGGGCATGGCTGAGCTAGTTGTGACATGGGCAGGGTCAGGGAAGGATGCTGCCAGGGAGATCTTGCAGGAGAGGTGGAACCAAGGGACCCTTCAACCCCATACCTGGTCCCACCTCTCCAGCCCATTGCTGGGGCTATACCATTACGCATGCTCACCCAGCTTCTGTCCACTGAGACCTGCTGCTCCCCAAAACCTTTCTCCTAAGGTCTCCTGCTTTTCTCCCCCTGGCAGCTGGAGCAGGGCAGCTCGCACATGCCACCTCCCACTCCTGGAGCACATTGGGCTTTTTCCTATAGATGTTTCTCCCCAACACATATTTTGCGATCACAAGTGTTAGAGATGGATGTGACGGACAAGGAGGCATTGTTGGGGCAGCTGAGCACCAGGGCGTCGTACTCAGGCATGACAAAGGCCGTTGTGTTTCTTCTGTGACAATAAGCGCTGCAGGCTTACGCAGGGGCAGAGCAGCTTTCCAAAGAGCCCTTCTCTCCACTTCTGGGAGACGACTCCGTGGTTCCCCTGCCAAAGCAGAGGTGAGCGCAGGAGCCAGGTGGTGCTGGTGGCTTCACCTGGCTCTGCACAAGGAGCTCCCAACCTCAGCTGGGAACCAGAATATGTGTCAGCTGCACCTGGGGCACATTCTCACCACAGCCTTGCTGTGGGCATCTCCCTGGGATGTTTGGTCATGCTGGGAAACGGGGAGGGCACAGGGCTGGAGCCTCCATGCTTCCCAGGAAGTGGGTGCGAAGGCTCCCTACTTTGCTCTGGTCCAGCTGGGAGGTGATGAAAGATGGTGAAGCAGAGCCCACCAGCACCCTGCAAGCTGCCGGAGCCCCGGCTCTGTCTCCCAGTGCACAGGCTGTGGTTGAGGCTGCAGAACGAATGGGGCAAATCACAGAAAGTGCCATTTGCTTTGCAACAGCTTTGCTTTTCCAGCTGCCAGCGCTATGTGCTGATGTCTCATCCTCTGCTTGCTCCATCATGGGTTAGGGGCTTTCTAAATAAAAAAATACCCACAAACTTGCTGCTCTAGGGAGGTCCCTGGAGAGTGGGTGTTTGAGAAGGTGGCTGCTCCCTGGCCCCATTGCTGTGGGCGAGGCAGGGTAGCATCTCCTCCAGAGTCCAAAGATCGGGGTTGACACAGAACTGGGAGGGAAAAGAAAAAACATAAGAATAAATGAAATGTCACCTGGGCTGGGCTCCTCCATCCCTGCCTGCCAGGGAGCCAAGGGCAGAGACCTGCTCCCTTGCCACTGCCTCTGCCTCGGGGGCTCTGCCAGGGGCTGCAGGGAGGGGAGAAAACAGCTCTGCCCTGGTTCTGCTTACTTCTCCCTGAGCAGACCCAGAGACAGACTCACCTACCTGGGTTTTTTTGCGATTCACTCTGCAGGCACATGATGCTGCAATTGCTATGCAGTTAAACCTGCTGAGCAGTGACAGGTGAGCCCTAGAAGCTGTAGATACAGGAGGTATAAACCAGACCAGACCCAACCAAACAGTGGAGAGAAGCTTGCTTTTGCTTTTTCTTTTCTTGTCTTTTTTTTTTTTTTTTTTAATGATGCGGCACCTGGGGGAGGTCAAGGCTGAGCTGGTGCCCCAAGAGCCCCCACACATCCAGCTCCCATCCGGCCCATGAGATGTCCCTATTACTGAGCCAGTACCTGCGCAGACTGACCCTGGGGGCTTCTTGGTTGAGAAGGGACTTTCGGTGGCAAGAATGCCCAGGTTTCACCCAACCTGCCTTGCAGGACATCTCTGTATCATCTCCTGCAGTAGCAGTATCCCCAAACAACGAGGGTCCCAGGTGGGCTCCCCATCCTGAGCTGTCCCCAGGGTCCAGCAGCTCTTGTGTGTCCCTGCTTTGTGGAGCCAGGGGGACCCAACTGCCATAGGTGCTGGTGAGCCCGGGCCTCTGGGCAATGCTCCAGTTCCCACCTGCAGGAACCACCACACGAACACTTTCCCCATTTCACCCTGCAGGTGCTCGGCTTACTGGTGTGGGCTCTCATTGCCGACACAACGTACCACCTCCACGCGGCATATGGCTGGGTGATGTTCGTGTCCATCTTCTTCTGGATATTAACAGTCCTTTTCTTCATGACTTACCTCCTGCAGCTTCAGCTGAAGTTCTACATGATCCCTTGGCCCCTTGTGGTATGTAGCCGACAGGGAGCAAGAGGGGGTCCCAAGTGAGAAACATCCTGGGGAGATGCTCCAAGAGGTCCAAGGCTTCAGGCTTTCCTGGGCTGATGGAACTAAGTCCCCTGCACTTTGCTGCTGGGGAGATGCTCCGAGAGGTCCAGGGCTTCAGGTTTTCCTGGGCTGATGGAACAAAGTCCCCTGCATTTTGCACAATGACATCATTTCATTCTGCCCCTCAATTGCATAGGAAATTTTCAGAACAGGGAGCCCTGTATCAATCCAGAAAGTTACAGCCACCACGTCACTGCTGCAGTTGTGGTGTCAACCAGAAACCTCTCAGCACAACCTGGGGTGCATTTAATGAGATGTTGAGCTGAGGTTTGTTCCCAGCATGAGAGGCTGGATGCCTTTCCTCTGGTTCTCCTGAGGAAGAGAGGAACGTGAAACTGAGCCCTTCGCTCATCCCAGCGCACAGGAATCTGAGCACAGACCTCACAACCTCCTCTTTGCCTTCCCCAGCTGATGATCTTCAATGCTGCAGCGACCGTCCTGTACGTCTCTGCCTTTGTAACTTGTGTGGCTGCCGTCCAGCCTACATCCTGGCGGCAGTGGGATTACAACCGACCGTAAGTAGCGGCGGTCAGGCGAGGGCTGCGGGGCTGGGGCAACCACCGCGCTCATGCATGGGGTGTGCTCCTCTTCCAGTTCTTCGCCTGCCTCGCGATGATTGCCTATGGGGCGAGCACCTTCTTCAGCTTCCGTGCCTGGAAAGGGCTGGGCAGCAACGCGGCCACCAACCAAGTGACTGACCATGTGTAAGGAGGGGACAGCAAAGCCCAGCCACAGGCCACCCTGGGTTAGCTCATGCAGGGCTTGGTGGCTTGGAGCCTCACGTGCTGTCAGGTCTTGTTCTTGGACCAGCCTGTGCTGGCAGCGACGGTCAGTGCCAGGTCACATGAATGCTGCTTTGTGGTCTCTGATGATGCTTCCAGCTGTTGTACCCACAGCACAAATCCACCCGTGCCATCCCTGACAGCGTTGCCAAGAGGACACAGACTGGCTGGAGGCTGAAGCTCCTGCTTGTCCTTGGGGTTTATCCAGATCCTTGCTGGAGCAGCTCCGCTGATGGCACTCAGCCAATTCAGCACACTTCAACATTAAAATGCACTAAACCAAGCCCAGGCTTCTGCCTCCGGTCTTTCACAGCTACAGTGTAAGTAATTGCAATTAACATGATACACAGCGGCACAGCTGGGGGATGTAGGCTAAGCAAAGGGAAAAGTCTAAACTCTTCTTGTATTGCTTTCTAAAAATGTAAAGCACAAATTTTATGCTTTAAATTAAAATCTTCCTAAATCCATCACTGGAGTCTGTCAATAAAAACTTTGTCTTGTGAGAAGGTGGTACATATAGCCTGGCGTGGACAGCAGAGATGTCACTGGCAGAGGCAACTGCCCCTTCCCAAGGCATATGGGCAGCCTGGCCCCAGGGGAGGAGGTACTAAGCCCCCAGGGCTCACCTGGCCTTGCTTTACTGTCACACACACGTACATAGGTGCACACACACCCCCAAGACCGCAGGAACATGGAAGAGGTGCCAAGGCTCTGGTGCGCTCCCTCTGGGCTCGGCACCACACACACCCCGGCGTGAACAGCAGCACCCATTAACCCTGCAAGCCAGTGCAGCCCGTTAGCTACAGGCGTCCTTCACAGATTAAAACCAAATCTGCAAGCGCTCTGGGCATACACATAGGGGCAGTGCCTCAGCAGAATGCAGAACCACACTGCTCCCCCACGCTGCAGACGACAAATTCACCTTTTATTTCCTGGGGACACAGGCTGGCATTTGTCAGAACTAGAAGCGATGCCCAGACAGTCACAGCAACTTTTCCCTTCACACCCTCCTTGCACAAGCTAACAAAATCAGATGAAATGGGTTCAATTTATTTCCGGATTTTTCTACATGGGAAAGTTGGTGCATGATGAGCTACATGGCAACATTTACTGCATGCTCTGCACGAGAAAAGATTTAACAGCTTGTGTACAGAGGCTCAGGAAATTTAACTGCATTAACGGAAGGTGTGAATTGGACTGGACAAACTGCATCAGCCCCTGGCCCATCTGCCTTTCTTCAGTTTTCAGCGAGCTAAACGAAGAGTCAAGTTTCCACAACCATGAAAATATATATATATATATATAAAAATCAGTCAGAGAAAGAAAATTATGCTTTGTTATGACAATGTTAAAACTTAAAATGTGAAGCCAGACTTGTACACAGACAGTTCATTATACAGGGAAGTTTAATCTCTTTGAAAAGTCCTTCTGCCTGATGGAAAATGCACCGAACCAGGGGCGAGGGACAGGAGTGTTGCAGAGGGACAAGTTATTCTGGGACAGAAGAGGGTGGCAGAAAGGTACTGCAGGAAACACTGAGATACAGTTCCCCATCAGAGTGCAAATTCATCCCCAGCTGTGCCTTGTGGCTCTGAAATTACAAGAGACTTTGCTTAAAATACACCAGAAGTCCCTTCAGAAAACAACTGCCCGAGGTATTCATTTACACTGCTGTCAGCTTAATTAATTGAAGCAATTGTAACGGGAAAAGAATGAAAACTTTTTTTCAATTAAAAAAAAAAGACAGGGTATTGTTAGCTTTAGCTGCTAATAAGTATTGTAGCTCTACCATTAAACATTAAAATATGTCAACAGGATTCTTTAAAAATTTGATAAAACCTGTTCCTGACATTAAAAAGTCAACAGTATCTAAAGAGGTAAGGAGTTAAGTGAAGAACTCCGGTCCATACGCTGACAGTAGAAACCCAAGCAGATTTAAGCCTTCTGTTTCTCTGATGTTAACCTCAGGACTCACATGGCAGAGGAGCTGCAACCAGTTTGTATTAAAACCACAACCTAACGTTTTCATACTTTTTTTTTCTGGGAATACACACATCGGAGCATCACCTCTGCTCATTAACTAACCGCCCATGCATGCCTGAGCAGCAACTGCTGTGCCCACAGGAGAAGGTACTCTTTGTGGCACGGTCAGTAGGATTCTTAATTCTGCTTCAGCTTCTGGCTTTTATCATTCAAATCCAGCAAGCATAAATTTGTCGAAGGGGATTAGAACGAATTCTGAAGGAATAGTTTGTGTGGTTTTTTTAAAAGGAAAGGTATGTGCACCTGGTGTGTGTGCTTAGGAAGGAGATTTCAAAATACCAGAATAACTCCAGACAGAAAACTGCAGAGCCATAAGCACAACACACTAAAACCTCATGAGAGCCAACTACTGCAGCACTCCTGAATTTGGTACACACGGAGCCAAAATACTGGGACACTACACTTCGCATTGCTGGCCCACTTTTAAAAAGCCATTATAGTCTGTCCACAAACATGTTTAATTTTATCGTATTTTGTAGTATAAGTATGGCTTATTTTTGCCTGCATGGCTAGGAGCCTTCCCTCGTATCCAAAACCTATTTCAGTTGAAGAACAAAAGCCTAGCACTGTTGAAATCGCTGTTGGACGTCAACAGGAACAGGATTTCATCTCGTTCGTCCTTGTAAGACATTTCTTGTACAGAAAGAAAGATTTGTAACAGCCCAGCCATAACTTTGCTCTAGGTTCTCATCAGATGACAGCCTCCGCTCGACACCTTCACTGCTGCCGAAGGGCACCTCCCCTGCTGCATCAACCCCTTGCGGGACAGAGCGGAGGGCTCTGCCCATCACACTCGTGTTGCCCGAGCACTTCATTAAGCGGCAGATGAACGTGTCTGAACAGCATGAGAACAGTGGGTCCCTGTAGCTCCAAACGCAGTTTAAGGCCAGCCACCAAGAGAGGTGTGTGCCTGAGGTTTTGTGACAGGCTTATGGCTACACTTCCACCAGGAAGCCACTCGGCTGCTTTTCAAGGGGTGCTGAAAAACGCATTGCTGCCCTGATGTTGCTGACAATTTAACAGCAAACATGCACCTTTTAATCAGCATGGTACTGAGAGCAGGAAGTGACATGGTGGTAAACATGTCTGTGCCCAACCTACTGTCAAGCTTGTACTACCAGAACTAATGCAGCTGCGCTGCTGACAAAAAGAAAGTCAGCGATTGCATACATAGGCCAGAGTTTGGTTTATCATGGCTATTTTTCCCAATGTCGAATAGCTGGTGCCTGAACAAAAATGAATCTGAGAACTTTAAGGGCACATTAAGGATGAGACTTAACAAAACACAGAGAACAGGCAGATTTACACACTAACTCATCAATTGTCAGAGCTGAGAGACAGTCATATGCTAGAACATCCACATATGAAAACATGTTCTTCATTAGAAAGCTGTAGCACTTAAGATCATTTTAAAGTATTAAAAACAAACCCAACCAAACAGCAGGAACTCAGAGGTTATGTATGCGCACCTGCCCTCCCAAGAGCTGGAGGGACATCCTCTTTTCACACTGTCTTCTTGATTCTGAAAAGTTCTGCGTTTCAGCAAGATGGTGAAGGTGCCAAGCCAATTAACACACACGCAGGCCTATTTAACTGTCCTCTCAGCATGCTGGGCTTCTCAGCATGCACAATGGTTAGGCTGGTGTACAAATACTGTGTATTTATTAAAAACTATTACTCTGGTAGAGGTGAAATTGTCATCTTCTGTGGTCACTGAATACCAACCAGAACTCACAAGCAGATGTTTCTAGGACCAGGCCTCTGAAGGTACAGTCTGGAGGGTGAATGAGTTTTCATCATGTAAAAGCACCTTGATTCCCATGAATCAGTGTCCAAATGAAAGCAGCAGCACTCATCTGGAGAAAGCAAGTAGTGCATAAACTGTTCTAGGAGGACAATATTGATGATTTGTTTAATGAAGTCACCACTAATCCACTGCTTAAATCCAGGCTTCGACCCTCTTTTTCCTAGAAACATGGAAGAAAAACAAATCCATGACTCAACGCTGTTTTGAAATAAGCAGTTCACTGTTTTGAAATAAGCAGTTAAAAGAAAGAAACGGGCAATACATATTCCATTTATTGCATCAGATCAATACAAAATGACATGTTACCCGAGCACCTATGACTGAATGAGAACCTAAACTCACGAAGAGATTGTGCGGGACTCCTGCAGTAAGGTCACTGTCGCTCTGCCAGCCGTATGTCCAGGTCAGAGCAGAGCCTTGCTCACAGCTGGTCAAGAATGCGCAGCAGCAGGCTCACCCGGTGCTCCAGGAACCAGTGAAATCGAGCACCTGTGGTTTGCCCCTCAGGAGACCCAAGGGTACAAACCCCAGCTGAAACTATTCCTGCTAAAAAAAATGTCCCTCCTCAAGCTGTCCCTGTTTTTCACAAAACTTAGAGGGGGGGGGGGGAGGCGGCAGAGGGCAGAACTCTGACAACCCCAACTCCTGCTCCTTTGTCAAATGTGACTGGGCAGACACTGGAGAGCACTTACGTGTTTCATTTCCCTAGGAAAAAGCTCATCCAAAAACATTAATACTTTTGTTTGCTTGTTTCTCCAGCCTGCACAGAGAGGAGGAGAAATATAAACGGAGTAAGCTTAAAAAGCTAATTTAGGATTGGCTGGGAACAAAAAGGAAAAATAAAAACCGTATCACAGAATCACAGAAGGGGCTTCTGGAGGTCACCTGGTCCAAACCCCGTGCTCAAGCAGGGCCACGTCCAGGTGAATACCTCCATGGATGGAGACTCCACAACCTCTCTGGGCAACCTGTGCCAGTGCTTGATCACCCACACAGTGAAAGTGTTCCCTTTTGTTCAGTCGGAAATCAACGTGCAAAGACGCAGAAAGCTTGCCTTCCTGAAGAACTGCTCCACA